GGCATTACTCAGGGCTTATTCCGAGCTCTGTACTGACTCCAGGAAGTACTCGAGCACCATTTAAGGTGCTGGGATCTTACCTGGGTAAGCCACGTGAAAGACACGTGCTTTAACTGGAAGTAATGATTGGATGTAATATGAAGATAATGTGGAGATTTGATTTGAGGTTATGTGTTAGGCTGGAGAAATAATATAGTGTGTTAGGTGCTTTCTTTGCACACAGCTAACCCAGCTTGGATCCCAGAACCACATAGAGTCTCCTAGGTACCACAAGAAGTGATAGTAGAGTATAGAGCCAGGAGTAAGACCTAAGCGCTGACAGGTGTGACCTAACCACTCCCTGAAAAATTTTAAAAGGAGATAATGTATATCTTCTTACACTACTGCTAACAGAATCCTCGAAGTAAACTTCAACTATGATATGTGAAAAACTAAGAACTGAAGACAGTAGTATAGAAGTCCTTTTGAAAAATTAAACTTAAGAAATAGAAATAAGACAGTAATCAAATGGAGAAATGTAACTGTACGATGATATTTTTAATTTTTCCCAGTAGCAATAATGAAGATAGGTAAACATTAGGCATAGGGAATCTTTCTCAAGATAGACTATCTATAGATAGTAATGACTATACCAAATCTACAGCCAGTATCATTCTCAATGGTGAAAAACTGAAATCATTCATTTTGACATCAGGCACAGGCAGAAGGCACACTGTCCCCACATCCATTTAATATAAAATTAAAAGACCAGGAAACAGAAATCAAGTAAGTAAAAGTAATAAAAGGGATCCAACTTAATAAAGAGCATCACTATTAGCATATAGCATAAGAAAAGATCCTATAGTTCACTAAAAAGCTCTTAGAAAAAACAAACCAATACTGTAAAGCAAACAGCTGCAAGGTAAACACAAAACTCTGTTCAATTATATATGCAAATAATGAAACAGAATAGAAAGCATAAGAGTCTACTCCATACAAAACAATGTTCAAAAGTACAAGTACCTAGGTATCAAATTAACAAAATATGTAAGATAACAATACAATGAAAATTATGAGCCACTTACGAAGTAGGAAAGACTTTCATGAAATTTACATACAAGTGATACTACATGGAAAGTATCATGCTAAGAAAAATGAGTCAGAAAGAGAGGGACAGACATAGAAAGATAGCATTCATCTGGGGAACATAATGTAACAAAATAGGAGACTAACATCCAAGAATAGCCGAGATACGTACCAGGAGGTTTACTCCATGGCTTGGAGGCCACCTGCACACACTACGGGGAAAGGCAGCTCAGTTAGAGAAGGGAGGACCAAATAAAGGGTGTTGGGAGGATCCTCCCAGGATGGGAAATGCACACTGAGAGTAGGCTACAGCCCGAACATGATTGCCACTCAATGCCTCTTTTGAAAACCACAGCACCCAAAAGGAGAGAGAGAACAAAAGGGAATGCTCTGCCACAGATGTAGGGTGGGATGGGGGTGATGGGGGGTGGGAGGAATACTGGGATCAGTGGTAGTGGAGAATGGGCACTGGTGGAGGGATGGGTATTCGATCATTGTATAACTGAAACTCAAGCACAAAAATTTGTAAGTCTACAGCTGTACCTCATGGTGTTTCACTAATAAAAATAAAAAAAAGGAAAGACTTTAATAAATGTAAAGTATTATATGTTCAGGGATGTAAAGAATCAGTATTATCAAAATGAAAATCCTATCTAAATTATTATATATATTAATGCATTCTCCATCTGAATTCAGCTGAAATTCTTCAAGAATTTATAATAATATATAACAAAGTTTATATGAAATCATAAAACACCCTGAATAATCAAAACCATGCAGAGAAATAAGAAATTCGGATGTATTTCATTACCTAACTTTAAACTATCCTATAAAGCTATAGTGATCAAAACATCATGATACCAGAATAGGATAAACTTAATTATTAATGGGTTAGAATTGAGTACCCAAAGACAAATTCTCAGCTATATGGTCAACTAATTTTCAACAAAGTAGCTGGGAGTACATTAAGTGGAGTAAACAGACTCTTCAACAAATTATCTTTGGAGAATTGGATAACTACCTATAAAAATGAAGCCAGTTGCTCTCATTTCTTACACAAAAGTCAATTTAAAGTGGATCAAAAATCTTGAGATCAAAAGATAAATCACAAACTACACTGAAAATATATAGGCAGAATGCTCAATTGTTTGAACTTCAATGGTATTTTTAATATGCTTATATTGGCAAAGGAAATAGAAACAAGAATAAGACAATGGGACTGTATCAAATTAAGCACAAGCTAAAACTAAAAGACACCCAACTGAATCAGAAAAAATGTTTGTATTCAACATATAAGAAAAGGGTTACTGTCAAAGATACATAAGATACTCATAAAGATCAACAACAAAAATACCTATCGATAAATGGAGAGAACAAATGAACAGACATTTCTCGAAGACAGAGGGATTGCCAACAGGCACATGAAAAGTGCTCATCATCACTTATTGTCAAGAAAATCCAAATTGAGATATCATCGCACACCACTGAGAATGGCACATATGAAGAAACCTAGAAACAACATGTCTTGGGGGGGGGGGCGCATGGTAAAAAAGGAACTTTCATCCACTGCAGGTAAAGCTGTATGGTTTTAACCCCTATGGAAATCATTATGGAGATTTCTCAGAAAAGTAAAATAGAACTGCCATACAACCCAAAAGTTCCACTTCTTGGTATCTACCCCCATGTCATGAAAACAATTATTCAAAATGTCATAAGCTCACCATTAATCATTGCAGCACTTAGCACAGTAGCAAGGATATGGTATTAAGTTAGGTTATATATGCAATGGGACACTATACAGTTACAAGAAATTTTGAAAGCATACAATTCAGTGCCACTTGGCTGGAGCTGGAGGATATCATGTTAAGTCAGAGAAGAAGGGCAAGAATAGGATGATCTAACTTATCTGTGGTATATAGAATAATAGGGCAAGGGAATGCAAAGTATCCACTGGGAGCTACTTAGATTACTCTGGACACCAAGATTATAGAAATGCCAAAGTCAGGTAAGGAAAGGAATCAAGAAATAAATAAGAAGAGACAGGAGGTAACAGGTCTTTGTGTGCATTAGTAGTATAGAGGTATGGTAGAGGTGTATATATAAATCACAGAGCCAATAATACTATAAGCATGAGACCCAAGCTACAATAATAAAAATTAAAAATTCACCTGTCAATGAGGTAGACTGGGAGTTGGTAGGTAACCTGAGGACACTGGCTGAGGTATGTTGACATTGATGCTGGTATTGATGTTAGAATATTGTATTCCTGAAACTCTACTATTAATGACTTTCTATGTTAAGGTGTCTTGACAATTTTTAAAGGATAGAAAAAATAAATTAAAATAAAAGGAGAAGCATGATCTCTATCAATATAGAGCAAGGATTCAGCAACAAAGTGAAAGTGACGTCAAGTCGAAAATCCACATATAGGAGATGCTTTTGTGACAGCATGATAACCATGTCTAAATATGCCTTTACCATCCTTCTGCTTATGACATTTCATTTATCTGGAATGTCTTTCTCCTTATGATGACTAATTTATCAAATTTTATAAATTCTTTGGTTCAAATTTAACCTTCTCAGTTAAATCTTACCCTCTCAATCTCATCTGAAGATGTCTTTTTATCTTAAATTCTAATAGCTATTCCTGTCTGAACAATCCATTTAGCAATCATGATTCAACTCTATGCATTCTCCTTTATTGATTTCTTAAAGCAACTTATTTCAATAGTTTTTACTGTCTTTTCTAGCCAATTAGACTGCATACTCCTCAAGGGAAGGATTTATAACTTTGCATTAGATAATGTTAAGAGAGTACCCTCCATCTTCCATGGCTGTAATAGGCTTTCTAAATCTATACAATTGAGACAGATAAGATGATGCCAATAAGACAGATATTGATGATGCCCTTGATGAATAATGCTATACAGCTATTATGAATGATGAAATGATGCGATTTCTGACAACCTGGATGGAGCTGGAAGTTATCATGTTAAATAAAGTAAGACAGAAGAAGGATAAACACAGGATATCACTCATAGGTAGTATTTAGAATAACTGTATGAGGGAATGCAATGTTGTAAAAGAGTGATGTCCTGACCAGCCTTAGCCCCAGAGTATAGGGAAGAAAAGGAAAGAAGGAGTGGAAGGGTGAGGGAGGAGAGACAGATGAGAAGCAACAGGGGCCAGAAAAAGGGAGCAAGGTACAAAGATGGTGTTAAGGAATATAGACCCAAATATTGAAACCAGAGTCAACAACACTGAAATCAAGAGACCCAAACTTTAACAACCAAACATAGAAAGGTGCTCATCAAGAGCACAGGTTGGGCAGGGAGGGAGGGATACAGGAGGGGGCCAGGGAACATTGCTGAAGCGAAATTGACACTAGTGATGGGATCAGTGCTGTAACACTGTATGCCTAAAACTCAACTATAAATAACTTTGTAAATCACAATGCTTTAATAAAATATGGAAAGTTAAAATAACAATGATGATTTAAAAGGAAGGAAAATATATGGTTGAGTAATGGCAAATTTTCATAAAGGAGTAGCCAGAAAAGCATTCAGTAGGCCCTTGTTGTGTATTTGAATAATTTAATTTTCTCAATAATAAATAAACAATTGCATATTGCAGAGATAAAATAAATTTATCCAACAGTGCTACACAGACAGTATGTGACAATGTGAGGTTTGGTTTGTCCTTGCTGTTTATTTTAGATATAAGGATATATTAGAATAGTAGCAATATTATTGTCTTATGGTTGCAGTGCTGGGTTTTGAACCACAGATACTTTAACGTGTGCCATTATGCTTGATTTCTGTGCATCATTCATTTCATTTTATATATACTCTCTTTCTGTCATAATACTAAAAACCCCATTGAGGCTTTGCTACCAACAAGATTTCAGTAGTCCAGCAAATACCCCTGTGCCTTACCTCCTGACAATCAGCTTGAGTATCCGGAAGGAGCCTTTGATGAGTATGAGGGCCTCTTGCCGGGAGCCATACAATGGAGTGCCATTGATATTCACCAGCTCATCACCAGTCCTCATCTTCTGAGATAAGGCTGCCTTGCCTCCATCTTCAATCTGTTGTAGAGAACAAGACAGAATGTAGGTGGTGAAGAAACTCCCCAAAAATTCTGCTTCTGAGTTTTTCCCAAACAGAGTCAGGGGAAAGCTTCAGAAGAGCATCTAAGTAACTGATTATGGCCATTACTTAATAAAGGCAATGATTGGAAAAGTCTGGTAAGGAGGCAATACAGTGATAATGCAATCTCTGCTTTAGAGGAACCCATAATTCACCTTGGAGAGAACAAGCACTTTTTCAACATTCCTTTTTCTTTCTTTTAGCACTACAAGAAATTGAACACAGGTCTCATGCATGCGAGGTATGTGTTTTGCTGTGGAGCCACATTCCTAGTCCTAGAATAAGCACTTCAAAATAAAAGAGTGATACTTAGAAGGAACCCGAAAGTGTAGGTTAAAGTGGCAGCATATCTAGTAAACTATGCAAAAAATTAGAGACAGAAGAGGTAGGCTCCAGAAAAATGACCTTTGGAAAATCTTTCTGTCTTTGGGCAGGTTTTGAAGGCTTACAAACTGTAGCATGTGACCCTGAACAAGCTACCTAACTTTTCTGGGTCTTGAAGACTTCATACACAAACTACAGGCAAGAGTACCAACTTCACTAGGCCATAAATACACAAAATGTTTGGGAGCCGTAAAGACTCAAGAAATATGACGTATGATTTTTAGAGTAGTAGGGTTGACCTTAAAGCTCTTGGAAGTGGTTTCCATCAAAATATTATATAAGTGGAATCACAAACTCCAAAGCTACAAACTATGTCTAAAATAAATGGACATATTTTATGTTCTTTGATAAGAACTTAGCAAATTGATTCCAGTATCTGGAACATAGTAGGCATTTACCAAAAACTGATGACAGGAATAGTCATTGTTCTATCACAGATAACAGAATTTTCATTGACAAGTGCAGTCTCAGCAAGAAGGTAATCTTGGTAGTACTAAAGAAAGCTGCTGGGATCACTGAAAGCAAAGACAGAATGAATGACTGCTGAATAGACAAAAATAAGAAGCAAAGCACATATACTCCAAGGGACCTTAGGATTACCTTTATAGGTAATATTCCTTCTACCATAAATGTTGAGTTCTATTAGAACATCAATTTCATTTATGGTTGTAGGAGTCAACTTATCCATCCATTAATGAATTCCATGAGTTTTAAGTGAATTTCTAGCATGTACAGGGCAACTATAGAAATACAGATGTTCCTAGCCTTAGGGGGTGGATTATTAATTACCTAATGTTTATATGTCCATATAGATAACCATGTAAGAAAAAGGTCCACAGGACTGACAAAATCAAGACGAGATTTTTTTCTAATAGGGGCAAAAGAAGAAATGTATTTTTATATGAACTGTAGCACTGTAGCACTGTCCTCCCATTGTTCATTGATTTGCTCGAGTGGGCACCAGTATGTCTCTATTGTGAGACTTCTTGTTACTGTTTTTGGCATATAGAATACATCACGGGTAGCTTGCCAGGCTTTGCCGTGTGGGCGCAATACTCTCGGTAGCTTGCCACCTCTCAGAGAGAGGGGCGGAGGAATCAAACCAGGGTCGGCCTGGGTCAGCCTCATGCAAGGCAAATGCCTTATTTGCTGTGCTATTTGCTTTAGCTATATTTTACAGTGACTTTTATTCTTTTTCCTATCTTTTTCTTACTTCCACTTTCTCTTAGATAGGATTCCCCCAAGTTATTCCCACACCATGGAAGAATATTGCTGATTTTTAGGTTGTCTAGCTCCTGTGCAATTTGGCAGATAAGACCTCCTGAGTGCAAAGAAAAATGTTAATTCAGGATTTAGAAAAAAAAATCCCATCGAATGAATCTAATTTCTGAGTTAAATTACAAATAGTTATTAAATTTAATGCTGCTAACTCAACAGTTTTCTTTAGATTAAACTCTGTTTAAAAATCATAGGTTATCCAAGTGACCCTAATATATATATATATATATATATATATATATATATGTATATGTATATAAAGCAGCCACAGTCTGGAGCGATAGCACAGTGGTAGGGAATTTGCCTTGCATGAGGCCGGTCCAGCCGATCCAGGTTCAATTCCTCTGCCCCTCTCGGAGAGCCTGGCAAGCTACCAAGAGTGTCTCGCCCACATGGCAAAGCCTGGCAAGCTCCCCGTAACATATTCGATATGCCAAACACAGTAACAACAAGTCTCACAATGGGAACGTTACTGGGCCCGCTCAAGCAAAATCGATGAACAAATGGAGGACAGTGCAGTGCAGTGCAGTTTTATATAGATAGATAGATAGATAGATAGATAGATAGAAGATAGATAGATAGATAGATAGATAGATAGATATGATATATATCATATCTATCTATATCTATATCTATATTGCTCCAGTATTTGGGCCACTGCTCAAAACAAAATACTGATAAATGGGGAATAATTCAGCAAATTAATTGGGATTACATTTTAATTTTCATTTCATCATTATTCTTCATAGCCACTGCTGTCTGGTGCAAAACAAAGTGCTATACTTAAATCTCAGAAGTTCAATTAAATGAGTCATTCCTTTGGCATCCATAAAAGGTCTCAGTATCACCAGGCAAGATATTCAACACAGATGAACCATTTGAAAGTGTTTCTTTAGGCTTACACAGAACCACAAGCAGGAATCTAACAAATTACTGCTGATATATTTTACCTATTATATATATATATATATATTAGTCTTAATTTACTCTACCCCCATCTTATTCATACTACTCAATTATCCATATGAGTGTTATCCACAAAAATTCTGCCATTCAATTTATATTAAATATCACTGGTGAATTTAGCAATTTGCTACATCAACAAGATTTCTGTTTACTCTGTTTATTCTCTAGGCTAGAAAATGAAAGGAGTCCTTTTAAACAAAAATGCTAAATTACTACAGCAAATGCACAAACATTTTACATTTCTTATTGCTACATCCTGCTGCCATTATCTGATTCCTTACAGGAGTTCTTTCTTAGACTACAGTCTCAGGCCAATTGTTTTTGTCCCTCTTGCTGTTACATGCAATCTTTATGAACAACTTTATCCTCCAGACAAATATCTTGAGTATTACACGGCCACTTTACAACAAGTATGTACTTAGGAGCAAATTGGGGCACAGTCTAAAAGTCCAGTTAGGTAAAGAGCATGACCGGCATTCTATATGAACTAATTATTTACTGAAATAATTTATTTTTACTCTTCATGACTTTTTATCATTTAAATGTATGGCGCACTAGTATTTATTTTTCCCTCTGCACCTTTATATTATTGGGATACAGAACATTTTCCATTTTTGTTTCGCCTCCTGACAGCCAGCTTTCAGTCAATGGTTCAACCAAACCTTTGTTTATACAGAAGATAAAGGCCACTAGCCATGTTTTATAGCAAGAAAAAGGAAGGAAGTGGATGGAAAAGAAAAGAATGAAAGAATAAAGACAGGGAGAGAAGGCAGTGGGAGGGAAGAAGATACACTTACTCTATAAAAGGTTTCGTTTTACCCTACCCACAGGCAAACTCATAAATCCATCTGGGGCCAAGAAAGATTGTTAATCAACAAAATTGTTGCAATTAGCATGCTCTGCTTAAAGGGTTGTGTCATATCACTGAAGCTGTCCATTCAGCAAGACTGGTGAACTTTCAGTTCTTCTTGAATCAAAACTTCAGGGTGGCTTCCTTGTATCATTTGAAGTATTGAGAAGTATCAGATTGGACCCAGACACATTGGAATATCACTATAAACACATATTACAACGCCTGATATAAACAATGGTTAACTTATGTCCCATTTGGATTATCCAAGTGGTTGCTGCAATAGCAGTGAGTGGCCCCAGTGATTGAAAATTGATTTTAAAAAGGTCACATAACTGAAAGCTTGCAGGCTCTGAAAAATTAGGAAGAGCTCATTAACCACGGGCAAGTCATTTCTCCCCTCATTTGTTCTCCTTCATCCTTACTAGTAAAATGTGAGGGTCTGAGTAGGTAATCCTGGAGAGTACTTGGAGTTCTGACATTTGGTGACCTGTACATAGTGAGCAAAACCATGCTTATCCTTCTGCTGACATAGGTAATCCTGTATTTTTGCCCCACTGTACTCTGACTTCACCCATATCTAAAACATTCACAACTAATTAACATCCATCTCTCAATTGTCTATGGTATTTTTGTTTTCTTCTACTCACAGGCACACTCATAAATTTATCCATATTGTTTCAGAGTGATCCACCAAGTTTGAAAAACTTTTTATTATTTTTTCCACCAGACATGCAAATTTTATTTTATCTTATTTAATTTTTTAGACTTGCAAATGTTTGTGCTTGGGTTTCAGTTATACAATAATTGAGTACCCATCCCTCCACCAGTGCCCATTCCCCACTTACAATGCTCCCAGCGTCCCTCCCAACCCCCTACCCCCCATCCCACCACACCCCTGTGACAGGGCATTCCCTTTTGTTTTCTCTCTCCTTTTGGTTGCTGTGGTTTGCAAAAGAGGCATTGAGTGGCAATCATGTTTGGTCTATAGTCTGCTTTCAGCATGCATCTCTCATCCTGGGAGGGTCTTCCCAACACCTTTTACTTGTTGCTCCCTTCTCTGAGCTGTCTTATCCGATAGCATGTGCGGCTGGCCTCCAAGCCATGGAGTAAACCTGGTATTTATCTCGGCTATTCTTGAGTGTCAGCCTACTATTTTGTTACCTTATGTTACCCAGACGAATTCAATATTTCTATGTCTGTCCCTCTCTTTCTGACTCATTTCCCTTAGCATGATACTTTCCACGTAGTACCACTTTCATGTAAATTTCATGACTTCATCTTTTCTCAGTCTCCAGCCCCCAGGCCTGACTGTCCTCGCTCGCCAGGACCCCTTGGAGGGGAGCGGGTTGAGCTTTCCTCCCCTCCCCGACCTGGGCTCCAGCAGCCAAAGACCTTCAGGACCAGCCACCACCATGCTGAGACCACTCTCCACACACATGAAGGTACTGGCAGAGGGAC